GGTGCACTCCAGGTGAAGCATACACCTTTCCATGTCAACAATGGAAATGTTGCACGATTATTGAAAATGATAAAGCATCTCAAGAATACATGATATTGCATCCAATGGTATTGGAGTCCAAGGACAACAAGGGTGTGGAGGGAAGCAAAGCCCCGGAGGAGGACAAGGAAAATGAAGCCTCCAGCACTCTGGAAGAGGAAGAAGACTCCAATGATGATGACTCCAATGATGATGATGATGATGATGACGATGATGATAATGATGATGAAGACGATGATGACAATGACAATGACGATGAAGTAAAGGCCAAGGACAAGCACTCTTTGGATAAATCCTGGTCCAAAGAAGAAGATGATGATGAACTCAATGAAGAAGAAGGTAGCTGCCCATTAACTAAAGTGACAACGGTTGTGTCCAAAACCGTTGATCAATACAAGGAGGAATGGACCGATAAGACCATGATTTTATACGCTCTCTTTCAAAACGTAATGAAAAAAAACAAGAAGACCTACCAGCAAGACTGCCATTATACCTTGAATGCTTTACGCAAGACGAGCGCTTTCAAAGGGGCCAAGACCGAGAAGTTCTACCACGATCAAATTTCTGGTTTCCTGTTTTCCAAATCCCAAGGCTTCTGCAAATTCCATCTTGTTTTTGAACCGGTTGAGACACTTTCGGCTGCTATAGGTGAGATGCAGAAACAGCTGCAGGCAATATTCGAAGACAAAAAGCTATGCAGCAGCTACTTGATCAAATCCGAACGGGAGCCAAGTGACAAATCAGGTGAGGAAACAGATGATGGTGATTCCAGCTCTAGTTTGGACTCCTCTACCAGCCAGCCCTTCACCTTTTCTGGTGTTGAGAAATATCGTAAAGACACCATGGAAAAGGTTGAGATCACATGGCTTTCCTTTCAGATCATCAAGTATGTATTCAGTCCCACTGCTGGTCCTTTAGGAGCTGTGCACGAGCAAAGGTTTGTGGTGTACAGCCAAAACATGACGGCCGGCCGATGCAAAACAAAGTCTGACATTATTAAGTTGTTGAGGGACATCGGTGTTGTATTTCACTGTGCGGAGCGGATCCAGAAGTTCAAGACAGAGCTTGACAAATTTTGGAAAGATCCACATGATCCATCTGCTGCAACCGCCTTTGCAGAACAAGTTGGAAAGTGGGCACTCCAAACTAAACCCTCGGAGTCGGTGGATATTATGGCAGGGGAAATGAAAAGATTGGCAAAAATCTTTTCGCGGAACAATCATTATTCCATCACCGAAGACGGACTGAAAAAGAACCAGAAAAGACCACGGGGGCTCTGGAAGTCCTTGGTTCTTGCCCGGATTTTTTTCCTGTATGTCAACTCTGATCCTAGAGAAATGAAGCGGAAATGCAAGAACATTCTCAAGAAAACAATGACTTCATTAATGTTTGGCACCATGGGACAACAGAAACAGGCAAGAGAAGGTTGTGATGCAGCTGGCGGAGACAAAAAGGAGGACGATGCCACCAATGAAGATGGTGATGTAGAGGATGGTGAAGATGATGACGATGATGATGATGTAGACGACGACAAGGATGATGATGAAGATGACAGTGACGACAAGGATGATGATGAAGATGACAGTGATGACGATGATGAAGATGCCAACAAGGATGATGATGAAAATGACAACAACAATACTGCTGCTGGTGATCCTGGAGTCCAAACAAGTGTCATAAAATCCCACATACAAGTTGGCAATCTTGCTGTATGCAACTTTGAGCAAATGGAGAATGTATTCTCCGAAATTATTGTCCACACCCAACAAAGAAGCTACCGTCTCCACCTTGCGCCCTGCAAAATTTATTTGGGGATGGATTTCTCTTTCCATCCTCATAAACGAGAGGTCTATGAAGACAAGGCCAAAATGGAAAGTGATCAAGGGTCTGCGGACATGGTGATTGGGAAAAAGTATCCCACCTTTATTGACATGAATGATATTCTACATGTGATTAGGGGTGATTCACCCATATGGATCAAGCACAGGGATTTGTTGAAACGGGTTGAACAGCACTGGTCATTCTTGGTGCAGACTCTAATGTGTTGTGGGGTAGCAGATTGCAGTCGAGCACCTATTGAAAGGCAACTTAGCTTGGGGGCGGGGGCCTTTTGCTATGGTAGCAACAATCGCCCGGATCCTCACACTGGGTTCAAGCCCCTGGATAAGTACTTCAAAGACAACCCAGTGGGAAGGCAATTGTTTCTCAGCGTC